GGAGTGCACATGTTTACTGAGAGAGACCATGGGAGAAATGAAAGACATTGTTTTTCCAAAGGATTTCTTGGCTGTAAAAGACCTCCACCACCCTGTGGCTTCCCTGATGAAGGCCCAGCGTTAATTTGTTAAATCCACATCAAGTGCCCGGAGAACCCGTTGTTTATTTTTGCTAATTCAGCCGGCCGAGATCAAATTGGGGTTTTATTTGTTAAGGATAAACCTTAATTAATAAAAGCTATTTATTTAGTTAGAGCTGGCCGCAGCCTGAGGGTCAGATATGCCACGATCATTATTTCAAGTAAAACAAACCCAAAACGTCTCTCAACAGTTTGAAAAACGTAGAAACTTAGAGGGCTGAATTTATTTGTCTTAGGAAGAATTTACAGCTAATTCCCTCCAGGCTATTTCAACCCTTAAATTATATCCAAGAAGAAAAGAGGGGAAAAAAAATACCATTCCAGGCGGAGAAGGGAAGTAAATGGTACGGCAGATTTGATCATTTTGGCTGGGGGGGTGTGAAAAATTTAAAGCTTAAAAGGTCTTTGGCAAACTGCTCGCAAATAAATGGAACGTGTGAAATAATTTAATGGCAGAAAACTGTTCGGGGCTGCGGGGTCTGTGGCACAATGGAAAATGAAACACGTTGGGGGAGATGTAGCCTGGGCTTTTTTGCATGAGAGGGTTGAACTCACTCCCTTCTGACCTGGTCCCTGAAAAAGGGGGGGTTTTGCACCTCAAAGCCAAGGGTCAGAGCTGGATGCAGCAAAATCTTTCCCAGGCTGTGATGGTACACACAGAGAGGGTTTGCAGCATCATCTGGGGGAGAGACAGGCTGGCAGTCGGGCAAGGTGACATCGTGCTCTGGGATGAGCATTTTGCAGAGAAACCCCAGAAACTGGGTGTCCAGAGGGGAGTCACCCCACAGAGAGACTGATGGTGATGGAGCCCATCCCTGAAAGCCATCCCAGGGGAGCATCCCTGCCCAGGGACGCCGTGTCCCTGTGGCTCAGGCGTGTGAGAAGCTGGGAATGTCAGCACTGGTTGGGGCTGGCTCCCAGCTGCACCGAGGCCGTTTATCGTGTGCTAATGGAGGTCGTAAGTCAGAGCCGGAGCCTCGGTGGAAATTAGTGAAAATTACCTCTTTACAGCACTCGGCGGCTGCTGCGCGGGAGGTTGGGGGCCCTGCCAGCGTGGGGGCCCTCCTTGGCAAGCCCAGCGAGTCCTTCCTATGGAAAACTAATGGGAACACAGAGGGAAAAGGCAAGAGCTGGAAAAGTGGGCTCGGTTGGTGCCCAGCTGAGCCAGCTGGCTCTGCCCCGCGGGGCTGTTGCCTTTGCAAATGGGGCAGGACCAGTTCACGGCGTGGGGTGTGATCCAGGCTTGCCAGCGTCGGTGCTCCCGCCTGGAGAAGGGGCTTGGGGTGACTCCCAGCGCCCCATGGCACCCGTAGGGCAGAGCTCTGCCCCCGGGCTGGCTGCAGTTCTTGGGCAGGCAGCATTGCCTGGTGCTGGGCAGCCCAGAGAGGAGGCTGGGGGTTACCTAGGGCACATCCAGCACCCCAAAACTCATCCACATCATGGGGGAAAAGTCTCGTGTCTTTCCCAACACACTGGGGCAATTTAAGTCCGGGCCCATCCTGCTCTGTGCAGAGCCCCTGCACCTCCCTCTCCCCATCCTCCCCCGCACGTCATCTTTCATTATTCAGTAATGTTATCCCCCGGTTTTCCCCCTTCTCCTGCGTTTTTTTTTCCCCTTCAGTGGAAACTGTAATCAGTGGAAGATAAATACAGTGAAGGTGGCTGGGGAGAAGGCTCAGGAGCCCCTCTGACCTCGGACAACCAAGCCCTGCCCCAAACGAATCCCCAAATTGTAACTGACAAAGGCAAGGGTTTGGCTTTCTCCAGAGCCTCCCCAGGCACTGCTCTGGGGCAAAATGTAGATGGTGGTGAGCTGGGTTTAACTTTGTGCAGTTACAAACCCTTATTCCGGGAAGCCCATCGGGGTGAGGAAATGGTTTCCAATTCCTCCATCAAGGTGTCAGACAGTCTGGTTAAATCCAAGTCCTGCTGGTGGCAGTGAGATGGCAGAGGGTCTTTGGGGCACCCTCTCCATCCTCTTCCCCATTCCTTCTGTGGTGCCACAGAGAACTTAGCAATGCTCATTTTTGGGAAGCTGTTTTGAGACTGTTAAAGCATTTCTGACAGAAACAATCCAGCCCAACTCTGTACATTGTAAACCTGTCAGACACACACCACCAGCAATTAGGGTGGCATTTATCTGGTCCCACAACCCTGCAGGGCCTGAGCTAATGGGGACAAGATGTATTGGTCTGTTCCAAGGCTCATCCCTGAGCAGAGCAGAGGATCCAGGCAGGCCCCCCAACTGTGGAGCTGCCTCCCTGCCATACAGAGATGGCCTGGAAAAAGTGTGGAAGGTTATTCCATTAAAACCAGCAATAGAGGCTGAACAAAGTGCCCCAACTGAGGCATGGCCCAGGGTCTGAAGCTTTCAAAAAGCCTGGGAACCACTGGCACTCGGACACATCCTGACCCAACTCTGGTCTTAAACCTCGATCCCAGCATGCCTGCCAGCCCCATATGGGAATTGCTCAGCAATGCTCATCTCCTGTGGCCATTTAGCTCTTCCCTCCATGGGTTTGGGGAGAGAGAAACCAGCCAGAAATGTGGCCAGATCCTACAGAATTGGATTGAGAATTAATTTAAGAAACATTTCTGCCTCCTCCTTGCCTTCAGCCAAATTAGAGTGGGTGAGAGAAGCAATCACTTAGGGAAAAGTCCTACAGCCAGGTTTAAATTGGGGATGAAACCAAAAGGGGTTTATAAATTTTATTTATACATTTCCTAAGATTCTGTTGAAATCATTGCTGGTTCAGCGAGGGCAGTGGGTGCCCTTGGTGATGGCAAGTTTTGAACCAAACCCTGGTCTGTCATTTCCCCAGAAGCCCTACAGGGTCATCATAAACCCAATGAGGAAACATCTCTCACCCTGGTACATCCCATAGCTCTTTCCCAGCCTGATGGTTCCCATTTCAGTCCCAGGCTCCCAGAAAACCCAGGGACAACCATGGCTGGACTTCATGTATTTTAATCCAGCGGCTCGTTAGCTTGCTGAAGGAAAACAGGACCAAAAAAGGAGTTTAACTAAAAGGGGCAACTGGAAAGCAGAGACTGGCAGAACATTTGAAGCTGGAGGAACAAGGGCTGGAGGGAATCCTGAGAATTTTATTTGTGAGCCTTTAAACACGATCGGCAGCAAAGGGCAGCCTGTGGTTTCCTGGCTGGGGAAAGGGCCTCTAACCCACACATATTTCAGGCACAGCACTGTCCATCCTGTCTTTACCCAACCAAGAAGGCTGTGTCCCAAATACAAGAGCACAGGCTGTTTCCAGCCCAAGGGATGGTCAACCAAGGTCCAAATGCACTGACAATGCAATAAAAGACCCAGAGAAATGCTGACAGCTGCAGCGAGGCCCTGGGAGGGGGACAGAGCTCCTTTTCCTCCCCTTCACACCCAGGGGTGCTCTCCTCTTCCCAAAGCCCCAGCAGTTTGGCCCCATCATGGTCAAAACGTGGCATTCCTGTATGTGCCTGGGCGATGGGGGACGTGGGGGGTGGTGGTGGCCAGGTCCCACCTCCACACCCCTGCCAGCAGGTGTTGGGGTTTCTCTGGTTTTCATGGCTCGTCCTCAGGTTGGGACAGCTCTTGAGAGTGGTGTACTCAGGCACAAAGGGCCTTAGGGACTTGATGCAAAACTTAGCAGTGGACATTTTGCGGCTTGAATTATTAACAATTTAGGTCCCAAGATGGTTTTTGTGGCCTTAAAGATCTTGGAACCCATAGTTTCCTCCTGCTCAACAGCTTGATGGTGTCTTGGTGCAGGAGAGTTAATATCCCTTGCAGCTGATTTTGTTTGTTGCTCGAGTATCATCTGAAACCCCTGCACTTATTTAATAAGTGCCACGATAACCTATTAGCAAGTATTTAATTCTTGAGCATATTGAGGGAGTGGTGAGTTCTGCCACCGTGGCCCCTGCAATGATATAGAGCAGAAACCCCCAATATAACCCTGCTATGAATCAGAATGTCATAAAATTATTAACATTTCAAATAAATCCAAAATGCTTTCCCACCAGTAGGTACAGATTGGATCCAGATGCTTTATTAACAGAAAGAATCATTAACCAGTACCTCCATAAGGCAGAACGACAGCGAGTCGTGCTCCCCATGAAGCCTTTGCAGGCAGCTGACTGGGTGTCTCGGAAAAAGACTTCATAAACTTGCCTAAACCTTATGATATTAGTGACAAAGAGGAGATTAATCTCAGCCTGGCTGACAGCCCAAGATCAATACTGAGAAACCAAACTACACCCTCAGCTTCATGTTTCCATGAGCCAGCAAAGCCAGAAATAAACACTGTGGAGGCTGAGCTCTGCGAGACGCGGTGCCGTTCGTTCCGAGCTCTGAAGACCGGGGCTGGATGAGCAGATGCTTGGCTGCAGTCCTGTGTCACCCTGGGGACATGCCACGGCTGGGGCTTGAGGTGGGAGCTGAGACCCTCATCTTGGGTGTGTTTTGGTGCTGAATTTCCATGGCTGTTCAGGAAAGCTTGACCTAATGCCTTAGGATGAGCCGAGCCCAGGACACCCTGTGGGCACGTCCCCAGTTTGGATCAAGTGCTGCCCAAAAATCCACAGAGACCGGTATTCAAAATCAGATCCAGGTGATTTTAGCCAGATGTGAAACCACTGCAGGTCTCTGCAAATATTGGGGTTAACCCTCAGCTCCTGCAGGTCCCGGAATAGGTTTAGATTCTCATGGTGACCACAGGGTTGCACATATGCTGCTCCCTCCAGAGTCCCATGTGCCCGCAGGGAGTGCAGACCTCCAGGAGGGCCTGAGCCTGGCTGGGCTGTGGGGTCTGTGGGGTCTCACACAGGTCTGGCTCTCACGTGGCCTCTTCTGTGCTTTCCCCACAGGTGAGAGCCTGAGCCCGAGCCGTGGGGCGGCCAAGAGGAAGAAGAAGCAGAGGAGGAACCGCACCACCTTCAACAGCAGCCAGCTGCAGGCTCTGGAGAGGGTCTTTGAGAGGACGCACTACCCCGACGCCTTCGTGCGGGAGGAGCTGGCGAGGAGGGTCAACCTCAGCGAGGCGAGAGTCCAGGTGAGCACAGGTTTGTGTGGGAGAAAACAACACTCTCTGCCTTGCCCCCAGGCAGGAGCAGGGACTGTCCCCTCTCTGGTTTCATCCTGCACACGACCACGATCGGTAGGACAGACGCTTGGGACACCCCTGCTGACCCCCTTCCCTCCCCACGCAGGTCTGGTTTCAGAACCGGAGGGCCAAGTTTCGCCGTAACGAGAGGGCCATGCTGGCCAACAGATCAGCATCACTGCTCAAATCCTACAGCCAAGAGGCAGCCATTGAGCAGCCCATGGCGCCACGACCCACCGCACTGACCCCGGAGTATCTCTCCTGGACCAGCACCTCCCCGTACAGGTAGGTGGAGGCTTTGGAGGAGCTGGGGAGAGGTGGTCATAGGGCTGCCTAGGGACCAGTCCACTGTAGGAACACAGCCTTGTGCTGCTGCTGGGGATTTAGGGAGTTTTACAGGGCCAAAACGAGCTTGTCTGACTTTGCTTTGGGAACCCCTTTCATCTCTGAGCACCCACTGCCTGTTGCTGAGCAGGCTTCTCTGTCTCCATGCATTTTGGGGCCCTGGTACTCGCAAGGGATTCGCTTGGCCTCATGCTGACCCTTCCCACATCTCGGCACAGGAGGTGACATGGGTCCCTTCTGGTTCCCAGCTGTTCACGACCAGCCATCTCGTCCAAAAGCTCAAGACAGGGCTTCCTGGTGCATACTTTGAGGGGTTCCCACATCCAGCCAGCCATAAAAATGCTGAAGCCTTGGCTGCTCTTGTGGGAGATCTCTGAGAGGGAAGGGGCAGTCTGGCCTGGGAAGCCGGCAGGACCACGAGGGGCATGGGGACTTCTCCACAGGCAACGCCTCATTCCTCCCTGCTCCCTCCCCGCAGCACTGTGCCCTCCTACAGCTCCAGCGGGACCGCAACGCCCACCCAAGGGGTGAACATGGCCAACAGCATCGCCAGCCTGCGCCTCAAAGCCAAAGAGTTCAGCCTCCATCAGAACCAGGTGCCGACCGTGAACTGACCAGGGCAAAGCCTGCCCAGTGGCCTCATCCAGGATACAACGTGGAGCTCCTGTGCCAGTCCAGGACGAATCCGCCACCTGCCCAACACATGTCACTCATCCAGTGTGTCTCAGCACCTCTTCTCTCCTCTTCCCTTCCCTTTTGAAGGTAGAGTCAGTCCCCAGGCCGAAGTGGCACATAATTATAGCCACATATGGAGCAAACTTGGTTAGAAATTTGCTTTTCCGCACACCCTTATAATAACGGCTATATATACACACACATACCCCCCACGCGCTCTTCGAGGACAAACAGACTTGCCAAGGGAACAAGAATTTGCTTCCAAACATGGAAGGATCTTGGACTATTGGATTTGACCAATTTGGGTATCTCGCCCAGAGAGCCAAAGAGTTCTTGGGTCTTCTCCTCCCGCGGGGACGTGCAGCGGTGGGAGGACCACGAGCCGCCCTTTCCACCAGGCTGTGACTTGTGGCGCTCAACCACAAGTGCCGAAGCTGACCTGTGTGTTCACCTCTTTGCGCAGCCCCAGCCACAGCGTTTGGGACTTTGGGAAGCTGACGGCTCACCCATGCCACGGCCAGTCCCAGCCAGCCCTCTGCACTGTGCTGCCTGCATTTAGGAGTAGCCTATTCAATGGCGTCAGGTTTTGTTCCTTCCCAGAGGAGCAAGGAGGGCTGGAGCATCTCACCAGCCTCTCTTGGAGCCTGTGAGCTCTCCTGTGAGCCGGGGGTGCATCACCAGTCCCCAAGCAGGCACTGCTGCCCTGCCTTGGTGGGCTTGCCAGCGATTCTGCAGAGCCCCAGGTCATTGAACCGTCCCAGGGAAAGAGAAAATTGGAAAAAGCTGTTGGGTTTCAGCTGAGTAGGCGGCTCCCAGCGCTTCGTGCCAACGAAGGCTTCGCCTTCCGGAGGCACAGCCTCCCTGTCGGCAGCTCCGCAGATGTGAGCAGGGGTCTGGGGCCGGCGACGCCACGGGGGGAGGTTTCTTTGGTTTTGCAGAGAGGAAATGGTTTCCCCCTCGTCCCACCCTGCCGTGCAGCCTAATGAGGTTGCAAGGTGGGATGTGGGGGGGGATGGACACGGCGGGGGCAGCCTCGCCCCAGCCCATGGGACTGAGCCGTGGAGAGACGCAGCCTCCGCCTTCCCCTGCCAGTCCCGTGGCAATGGGGAACAAGACAGAGGGATGAAGGTGTTACCCTCTGGAAACCAGGTCACCCTTTCCTCACCCGCCACAAAATGCCACCAGCCAGGCGTGGGGACACCACCAGCTCAGAGGGGTGGCCCGGACAGAGAAGGCACCAGCCCTACTTGCCTGGAAGGGCTTGGCTTGGGGACTGTAGCAGCAGGTCTGAGGATGAACAGAGCAACTGCTGAGGTGCTTCCTCCAGATAAACATCCTCTGGTCTGTGACACCAAGGCTGAAAGTGTCACAACTACAAAGTGACCATCTGAGTGCCCACAGCTCCCAGGAACATCCTCTCCCATTCCCACCGGGGCTCTCACTGCAGCTATATGTGGGACCCTCAGCTGCACCCCAGACAACACCAACCCAGGGCTACTCACCCAGCACCCAGCTGGAGATCTGATGGGAGAACAAGGAGAGGAGCACATCTCCTCTGGCTGGGGGTGAACCAGCCCCTCCATCCTGCCTCCAGCCCCAGCTTTCTCTGCTCCACCCAATCTATTTGGGAATGACCACCTTCTCCTCCTCCAGCACGGCAGGCAGGGACAGGGCACAGCCTGACTGACACTGTCCACCCCATCCAGGGAGGAGTGTCACCCTAAGTACCCATGCTCTGCCCCCATCCCTATTTCCAGGGCTGGTATTTCCCCCATTTGCCATGCCAGCAACTCCCCTTACCACACAGAGACTTGCCAAGCCAGGGGGAAGAGGGATCCACTGAGGATCAAATCACCCACCCCGAGAAACACCCCTTGGGGCAGAAGGAGGAGGCCCGGGGGGGGTTCCTATTCCCATGGAAAAGCACAGGGCTCTTTTTTCGGTTATACAAGATGAAACCACAGGGATATAAATGTCGCTGCCTCTTTGAGAACATTAATGAAAATAAACCCGTTTAATAGTTTGCAGATGCCGTTTCTGTAAACCTAAAAAAAGCAGGGAATAAATATTTCTTCACTAAATATCTATATGTATATATATATTTGAAAACATTTGCTCCTAATCTTAGGGCCCCTCCTTCGCCGTGCTCTTGGCAGCTTATCACAGCTTGTCAGTCAGTGCTGAACTCACCGAGACGAGATACAAATTGCACCCACGGAGGGGTAGCAGGACCGAGGGATTATTGTAATCTAAGCTCTCTCTCCCCCTTTCTATTTGTACATTTCAATTACTTGTAACAAGATCCATGGTGGATTTTTTTTTTTGTTTGTTTTGTTTTGTTTTTTTTTCTGCATGTCTGCGTTTCGGAAATTTTTGTAAGGTCTTTTGTAAAAACAACTCTTGTGAAATAATGGAGGAATAAATATTTTACTGAGTAGAGGCGTGTCAGTGCATGTGATGGGGACCTGGCTCTTCCCTCATCAGCCAGTGTGGTTTCCCACCTGCCCTGGACAAGCAGCCCAGGCAGGGGACCCACTGTTTTGGGCAGGGGACAAGAGCCATGATCTGGCCACCTTCACCTTGAGTGATGGTGGCATCTCACAGCTTCTCCCCAAGACCTGGATTTCATCCCAGGCTTCCAGACAAATGGTCCACATGCCCTGGGAGAGAGGCAGGAGCAAGGGGGGAACATGTCAAGGCCCTGTGGATCTGAGAAGGGGTGGAGGGACCACGTTTCTGCAGCAGAAATGCTGGGCTTCCCTCTGGCTTGGGAACCCTCCAGCTGATGCCTGGAGATAGTGGAAATTGAGAGAGCACAGAAAACAGCCTAACAAAGGTTCCTGCATAACAGCTAATTGGAGGGCCTTTCCAGAGCCATCTTATTTCATTCGGGGATAATGAGTGTGGGCTGTTGAGGAAGGGGTGTCAAGGAAGAGGGGTCAGCATGCTCTTCCCCTCCAAAATCCCACTGGGAGTGGCAGAACTTACAGGATCTGTCCTGGGCAGCCCCCATTAATGCCGGTCCCAGTTCACACCCACGGCTTTGGGAGCAGCACCCCCATTTCCCCCCAGCAGCAAGGGAATGGGCTGAGCTGGGATGCAGCCAGGAGCAGGCAGCAGAGCCCCTGCTGCAGGGTTACCAGGTCAAATCCAGCGTTGTAAGTGGGAATGGAAACCTGCAAACAGTAATTGATACTCCACAGACATCAGAGATGGGCATCTGTTAACAGACCTCCCATTCTCTGGAGACAGGGCCCGTCCATGGTCCCAGCAGAGACTAGCAGAGAGTTATCCCACAGCCCTGGGAGCCAGAAAGGGGCAACACAGAGATCTGGACCTGCTCAGGGAATTGGAGGCAGTGGAGAAATATGGAGATTTTCTCCTATACTCTCACTGCAGGAACATCCAGGCACTCAGACAGATGCTGCTCTGTCAAGCATGCAGACTGGGTAAAGGCTGGGCAGCACAAACCCAAATCAGCACCAAACCCAGCTCCTCAGGCTCCATCCTGTGCACCAAGGAGGGCACTAACCTGGTGAGCTGGAGGCTGGGCACTGATGGGGCACATGGGAGAGAGCTGGGCCGAGGGGGTGAGATGTGGGACCTGAAGGGCAGCCCAGCCTCACTGAGGGCTCAGCAGAGCCTCACAACTGAGTGGATTTGCAAGGAGCCTGGATTAGAATAGGATGCTGTGAGCAGGATGGCTCCTAGAGAGAGTCACTCACAGGGACCAGAGCAACATGTGGCTCTCTGTGGGTTTTCTGTTCCAGGTCTGCAAAATTTGAGCTGACAGGCAGCAAGAAGGGGCATATTCTGCACAGATGACTAGTTAAAATTTTAAAAGGGTGAGAATAAACTATCAGCTCTGGGATCATGGAGTGCTTCCCAGAGAGCAAAGGCTCACAGGTGCAGAGCAGGCACAGAGCACCCAAAACACGGGGAATCAGTGGTTGGGCAAAGCTGACACCAAATACTTGGGGCAGCCAAAGTTAAAGAGAGCTCCAGGAGCTCACGGTGCATCACCAGTGGTCTTTGGGGCACATGGACCCCGTGGACTGCAAGGTTCAGGAATGGCCCCTCAGCAACACATCCCAGCTTTTCCCAGAGCAGTGCAAGGCTCATCCTTGCATCACCCAGTGGAATCAACTCCCCATGCTGGACATCACCCCAGACCCACCACAGTCCCACACACTTGACCATCCCTGTCCAACTGCTGCACTGCTGCTTTGTAACCACTGATTTATTCATTCAGTAAGTGGCTTGCAGATCATTAATGTCATTTCTCCAACCTCCTGCCTAGAGAATATCACCCAAGCAGCATCCTCACGTCCTCAGTATGTGGCCAGCACAGAGCACCCCTTTGGAGGCCATCCAGCCCCAAGTCAAAAGACCCTTGGAAGTGAAGAGCTTGCAGATCCCAGGGCAGATTCATCCAGTGACTCATTACTGTTGACTGCTGGAAATATGTCACTTATTTCCTGCCTGAACTGTCCCAGCTTCAGTTCATCTCCCACTAGAGCAGAAGGTCTCAACCTTCTCAGCCTGCAGGTCTCAGCCTGCTCCCAGGAGCTGATGGACATCTCCTGAGGGGTCTGCAAACCAGGAGACACACAGGCATGGAGAGCTGTAGCTCACCTGGCAGGGTCTGAACTCCACAGGGGAGGGATGTGCCAGGGGAAGGCTGCCAATGAAGAGGAGCTCAGAGGCATTGTGCTATCTCTCCTTCTCTTCCAGCACAGGGGCATTTTTCCTCCTAGGAAGGGCACATCCATCACCAGAACTAATTTCTGCAGGAGAGCTGGTCTCCACCCATACACCACAACTTCAGGAGCAGGGGAAGGTTGCAAGGCCATTTGCAAACTGTTTCCTTCCTCAAAGCAGCTGGTTTTCAACCAGGGCAAGTCTCAGCTGATGGGAGGATCTCCCTGGACCCCCTTTCCTTGTTTCTGACCCCACAGCCCGACACTTCTGCATGACTTTCCGACTGATGAAAAGTTGAAGTTTGCCCCTACAATGTTTTAATGAGAACAATTTTGTATTGTCATCAGCCTCGGCTGCCACAGCAGCGAAACAAAACAGAGCTCACATTTTCCAGCTCGCAAGGACACCAGCCTGGTTACCCCCATCCAGAATGAAACACAGACATCTCGTGGTTACAGCATCCTCCTCTCCCGTTATCCTCGCGCTGAGCCCTTCTCCCTCTGGTGGTAACGGGAAGGTCTGGAGACCCTCTGAGCCCTGCTGACACCACCTACAACCCGCAGAAACACAGGTACCCGTGACAGCAGCGTGTCACCTCCTAGGAGCCGAGCCCCTCCTGCCCTTTGGGGTGATGCTCCTGTCCCGGGGGGTGTGATGCTCACCCCAAACTCCACAGTCCACCTGGAAGGAGCATCTCCTCCCTGCAGCAGATATTTTGCTTGCTGCTGCTTCTTTCCAGCCCCCACAGGAAAGCAAACTAAGGCAGTAGAGAAGCTTCGAGAAGCTGGATGGTAGCTGTCCATGGGGGGTATAAGGTTTTAAAACAATTTGGGAAGGAAGGAGGAAGCAAAGGTTCCCTTTGTAGCAGGTTGTTACAAAGCCAAGTAAGAGTCATCACATGCAAGGAGGAATAATTGTATGGAGAAGCACAGCATTGCATCCATATACCACAACTTCAGAAGCAGGGGAAAGTTGAAAGGACATTTGCAAACTGTTTTCTTCCTCAAAGCAGTCGTTTTTCAGCCAAGTGAGTCCCAAAGGACAAGTCTGAGCTCCCTGTACTAGGCATCACATCTACCCCTGCTTTGGAGAGGCTGATGGGCGCTGGAGCAGATACGAGCCGGCCCCTCAACCCGTTCGCCAAGGAATGGCACCCTCCCTCCCTCCCTCCATCCCAAACACCTCCAGGCCGGCACTCAGCTCCCTGGTCAGCCACGCCCCGAGCTGGGGGCTCGCTGGGTGCGGGTCCCCGGGGCCGAGGGTCCCCCGCAGGGTGCCCGCAGCCACACGATGGTGCTGCAGCCCCGCGTAGGGAGCGCAGCGCAGCCCGCGGGACCCGCCGGTGAACCCCCATCACATTGTTCTGCTCTGCTCCAACCACCCCACCGGGCCAGGGACCCCCTGTCCCGCTCCCTTTCCCTGCCTGGGGCTCGCACCCACGCCGCAAGCACAGGGTGTCTCACAGCCCAGCCCCAGAGCCGGGTTGGAAAAAACCCCGTGGAGAGTTTTCCTTGTGCCAACTTCATCCTAGTGTGACGAGCAGGGAAGCATCGTTATGTTTTCCAGGGGACTCACCCCTGGGATGTCAATGCCTGTGGAGTTGGCTCCTCTCACTCTCTCTACAAGTCGCAGGAATCCCAGTTCCTTAAGAGGAATGAGAGGATTTGAGTGGCAAACCCCACAGCATGAGATGGAAGGGCCCCACGCCTGCTAGAGGGAATGGGAGATTTTGGGAGGGCAGAGAAGGCAGAGTGACCTGTGTCACAGGAGAGCTGCCCAAGGAGGAATTTTGGTCCAGATGCCGCCAGGGGAAGGCTTGGAGAGGAGAGACTCGGGAAGTGCTGTGGTCAGGTAAGGAAGGGGCAAGTCCAGTGCTCAGGGTTAGGGGGACCTTGGGACTGAACCAGCTGGAATTGTGTGAGGGAAAGTGGCTTGTGCTGGGTCTCTGCTCGCTTTTCCCCCACCTCCAGACACCCTGGGCTCAACAGGGCAGAGGGAAGACACAGCCATGTGGATCATACTTACACATATAACCAGACTGTGAAGTGGTTGGAAAGGTCTTGAAGATCATCTAGTCCCAACTCCCCCTGCCATGGGTAGAGTCACTTCCCACTAGACCAGGTTGCTCAAGGCCTTATCCAACCAGGCTTTGAACACTGCCATGGTTGGGGCATCCACAACCTGTCTGGGCAGCCTGTTCCAGTGTCTCATCACCCTCATGGTAAAAAAATTTCTTCCTACTATAGTATCTAACTAAATTTCCCTCTTTCAATTTGTACCCACTTACGCACCAAACTCTGTTGTTCTGCAGTCCCAGGTGGGTTTCAGTGTTGCCATTTCCTGTTTGAGCCAAGTGTGAAAAACAAGTTGGCACATAAAATGCACGCACCAAAACCCACAGACTGGGTAGATGCAGCCCCTGTCCCTGCTCTCCTGGAGCTGTGGCAGACCCTGGGCACATCCTTCACCCACGCTGATGCTGGAGCAGGAATCCAGTAGCTCTGAGCTTTAGATATTATTTGGAAAAAGGCAGGGGATGCTTTAGTTCATCACTTGCAGGGAACACCACTGGCAGTGTCCAGGGGAAAAACAGCAGCTCTGATCACCCTGTCCTGGGAGAGCCCTGATGGGGATGGGGCTGGTGCTGCCCAGGCAGCCGAACCCGGCTCCATCCTGCCTCCCACAAACCTCCACTGTGCTTCAAAATAAGCACAATGCTTGGGCCTCTCTGAAGTTTGCCTTGTGGGCTTTTGATGTTTGTTTTTTTGGAGCTAGGAGAGTTCACATTCCCAAGCTTTTCCCTGCAGCCAGTACAGCAGGGTTTATTTTTTTTTTAATAAAAAAGAAGAAAGCCGAGCTGTGCATGTAACCTCAACTTCCCTGAGCAGAGCATCAGCCTCAGGCACTGAACAGGCAGCCTAGAAGAGGCTGAAGGAGCTGGGTGAGGGTTCTGCAGCCTCATTTCTTACTTCCCATGCCAAAATCTCAGTCCCAGCCACATCTCCAACCACAGCAACATGTACTGGAGAGAGTCCATTTTATAAAGCTGCTGCCTTTCTTACTTGACATCTAAAAGCATGAGGGGAAAAAAAAAACAATAAAGTGGAGCCATTTTATCCAGCTACAACAGACATAGGACAGCACCTCCCAAACACCAACAACTTAAGAAAATAGGGGAAAACCAGGGAAATGAGGCATTGGCTTCCCAGCAACCTACTGCCAAAAAAAAGGGGACTGCTGAGCTTGGAAACTACAGGCAGTTCCTTTGCAAGTCATAAGCACAGAAATGAGAGCAACCACATCTTACCTGAACTTCTCAAGCTCTCCAGGATTTTTAGGTGAACAACCAAGCTTTGCAACAACCTGCTACTCAGGGAAGGAAAACTGAGCAGGGCTACTGCTGAATTTAAAGGATCAGCACAAATAATGCACACCTGGAAAAGGGATTCCTCTGCAGGGGAGGTGAGTCCAGAGGAAAGGGATGTCTCTTTAGGAGTCCCAGGGTACTCCAGGCTCTGCAGTGGGGTCTAGCAAAGGGCTTTACAGCTGGGGATCCATCCTGCTGGGGTTGGACCCAGCTGCTGCCCAGCTGCATCTGCTGCTCCCAAAGGAAGGATGTATCTGAGCACAATGATTTGTTTTTATTGGGAATATTTGCTTCCTGCCACCAGGATGCATGTGCAGCAGCAGAGAAATGTACAGGGGTTCGAGACCTTGTGCACCATGTGAGGCAGAAAAGGCTTGTTAAGCAGGGTCTGTGTTACCCAGACATCTGCTGAGGCTGAGAGGGAGAGGTGGACAAGAGTAAAAACTGCTGAACCTGCCCACCTTCCTAATGTGGTGGGAGAGCAGAGCATTCCACTCCAAACCTCACCACACAGCTTGGCCTCTGTGCTGGGGTCAGGAATTACCAGGACAGAAGCTGCTACCTGAGCTGTGCAAGGGCTGAGCATCAGTCTGAGCAGGTGTGTCACCAGTGCTCTGTGAGGCCTCAGCAAGAGCATCTCTCAGGACAGCAGAGTTAAGGGAGCAGCCTTAATGAGCAGGGCAGGTGGAAGGGGACTTTATTTTCTGCTTATTCTGGTTTCCCCTGTGGTCTTAGTAAGGCTTTGTGTTGCCCTCAGAGGGGGGAGAGGCACTGAAGACCAGAGGTTTCCTCCTGCCTTGTCCTCCACAGGGATGCTCCATTGTTGCAGTCCCTGGCACCTGGGGACAGAGGAGCTCAGGAGGGTTTGTCACCCTGGTCTCAGTCTCTCCTCTCCAACACAACACTTTCAGGTGACACTGCAGAGAAGTGATACACTCTTCAAAGCCACTTTGCTCGCTTCCAGAGCTTTCTGCAAACCCCAGCTGGTCCAGGCTGCACACGGTGTGGCAGCACTGGACAGCAGGAAACAGCTGAAAGAAAACACCCCCAAAGCGGCCACAGCACATTCCCCAAACAGCAGCGGCCATTCTGCAGCCAGAGAAAGGCTACAAACAGAGGGGGAGAAAGTCAGTCTGCTGCCCTTGAGAGCATAGTCAGGCATTAGTGGCATGTGGACACAGATACCACCCTCAGGAGAAAGCTCTGTCTGCAAACTCCCTGTTTTGTGTGAGCATTTTAGTCTTTCCAGAAGTCCCAGAGATTTGTGTCCGGTTCTCTGCGGGGTAAGTGGTTCCTGCTGGCTGTTCCAGGCACGATGCTCTGCATCTTACTGGGATGAGACTGAGATGGAAAAGCCACGGGTGCTGCTGGCAGGGAGCTGCTGAAGGCTGGCTGAGGGACAGGTAGGATCCTGCCTGCAGTGAGGCTCCTGGCAGGGAGCTGTGTCCCTTGGCATGAGACAAGGTGGCTCTGGGAGCACTGAACACTCCGATGTCTTCACAACATCACCTCAGAGGTTTTGACTTCCATGTTACTCTGTCTGGCAGGCACCTGCCTCCTGTTCTCCTTGTGGGAGAGGGAACCTAAGGGAACTCCGTCCCCACAGACCCACATGGCTGGGCAAGAGGAGGGTGGCTGTTTTATAACCCCCTCTTCTACCTCTGCTGACCAAAAGACTGTGAGACCCTCATGATTTTCCCTTCCTGATTCACGGGATATTTGTGACCAAGGGGAAAAGGCACATCTTCACCTTCCCAGTTCTGAACATAGTTGAGTCAGAAAACCTCCTTTTCTTCAATGAACCCCCTCCTTGAGGGGTAGTTCATGTGCTTTCCCCCTCCTGCTCTCAGCAGGAGCGAGAGAAACCTGACTCTGCATTCCCTTCCTGCTCCACAGGGAGACATGTCCCTTCTCTCCGGCGACTTCCCTGCCGAATTTCAAGAGCACAGGGAGTTTACCAAGGCTGCAGGTGACCTCCTTGGCAACCTACCACGTGCCCACACACAAACACACACACACACACACACACACACACGCACACACACACACACACACATGTTCACACTCACACAGCACCCCGTCCCGCCAGGGAACCATCGGAGTGCAGGATGAGGGGGTTCGGATGGTCGGTCTCTCCGGGTGTTACCAGTACGGGGTGGTGGCGAGGAGGATCTGCAGGGCCATAGAGAAGCAGGGCAGCTGTGCCACGCTGTAGGCCACGGAGCGCGCGGGCGCCTTCAGCCGCAGCAGGTAGGCGATGGTGTGCACGACGCGCCCCACGCAGAAGATGAGGAAGTGGATCCTGGCCACTGCAGGACTGGGGTCCAGCATGGAGTAGATGGCTCCGAGGAAGAGGAAGGGAAAGATGTTCTCCATGTCATTGCGGTGGGCCCTGAGAAGGGAGATAAGGTTGTTCCATCCCACCAGAATTCCCTGCTGTCTCCCTTCCCTTCTAGCCATCCCTGGGTGCTGCTGGCAGCCTCCTCTGGCAGATGGGGCAGACACAGCCCCCAAAAGACTTAGTTCCCCCTTGCACACAGAGGCAGGATTTCACACCCTTGGGATGCTGAGCTCCCGAAGCTTGCTCTCCGTGACTGGGATGCCTTTGCCCTGACAGATGACAGCTCCAGGGTTGGAGCTTTCAAACAAACAAAGCAAAACAAAGACCCTGCAAAGCTGCAAAAAGCTCGAGGCTGGTGCGGTGCCAGCACGGCACGGCCCCAGATGTGGCCACGTTACACAGTAAAAGGCAGTTTCCAGACCACAGCTTCCCCAGAGGAGAATCTCACAGGATGGGAGTGTCTGTGGCTTCGCCACTCCCTAAAAATGCATCCAGAGGCGATCAGGGAGGAGCACCCCAGGCACCCCCATGCTGTGCCAGCAACACCTGGAGGGTGGAGGGATCACGTGGTGACACGTGGCACTGATGGGCCCAAACCCTTTGCTCCAGCTGAACGTGCTCCTGGGTGTCACAGCATCAGCTGCCACCACAGTGGATCCAATCATGCAACCAGTGTAGGTTGAGTCCCTCCTCCCCCAGGCACCATCCTTTGAAGGAGGGAAGTCAGTTCCCAAAGCAACAGGCTGTCCATCACCTCTGCCTCTCCCTTCCACAGCACAGAGTCCCATCCTCATGCTTCCATGGGTGGACTGTCAGGTCATGCTCTGGTTGGTGAGGATGGATGTGGGCTGGAGAGTGACTCAGGCATGAGGTCACTCATTAGGTTTTTTCTGTTATCTCTGAAGGTTTGAGAGGCAGAGATGAAACCTTGATAAGAGCTGACACTGCTTCCCCATTCTTGTGCATGTTTGAATGTTCACAAAGCCAAGAGAAAATTTCAAGTTATTTCTTTGCCAAGACAAAGGCCAGGATACCTGTGCTGCTGTTCTGCACAAGATGAGAAGTTCTCCTACCTGCTCTTTCCACCTGCATAGGAACCAGTCCCTATCTTAAGGGCCACATCCTCAAGCAAGGGGTGGGGTGCATGAACATGGCAAGGAAGCTGCTGGAAACCCTAATTCAGCTGCTCTGTGGGTGCAATTTTGGGACAGCATGGAGGAATTGGCCTAGGAAAGACACTAAAATGAGTCCTGTGTGGTAGCAGTGATGTCAGGAGGACTTGGTGGGGATGAACTGATCAGAGCCTGGACACAGAGATGTATCCTTGTCAAAGCTGGGAGGGAGAAGGGGAGCTGCCGTGGCTCTTCTCCCCTCTTGATACCATCTGGGATGGTCTCTTTTTTTTCCAGGGAAACACCTTGGGTTTAATCTGTCTTTTCCAGGGCTGTGAACAGACCAGCAAGGACTGACTCTGAGTGCTTTAGCTGCCCCAAGTCAGATCCCAGACTTCCCCAGGTCTTTGCTGCAGCTCCAGTTATTTATTTTTATGGAAGTTTGTTTATTGTGAATAATCAGAAGAGGATTATGATTATTATTTCTGCTATTATTTTCTTTTTGCTAGGAAGGAAACAGCTCATTTGTCCTCCTCCTCCCTCTGGCAGCCCAGTGATTAGGTAGCACTGGATGTTTTCAGCTCATTTGCCATCCTACTCCCTCTAGCAGCCCAGGATTAGGTGGCACTGGATGTTTTCTAAAGCAAATGCTGGAAGCCGTGGGAGATGAGTGATGAGGGCCCCACCCACAGCAGAGAGCTGGCAGCTGAGGGCTCAGTGACAGGAGGGCACAGCTCCAGCCCCTTTCCTGCACATCACCCAGCATTCAGGGCACCTCCTTTGGTAAGGGGGACAGCAAATCAAGCCCAGGGCTGAATAACCCCATGTTTTACCTCTGAGGAACTGTGAGCCCCACAGAAGAGGGGGAAGATTCAGAGCTTGCCCATTAGGGAGGCATAAGTTATAGCAACCCTGTTCAGCCTCTTCCCAAATCCCTCAAAAGGGCAGCTGGATACAACACTGGAACCAGTCACACAGTTCCCTGTCCAAGCTGTGCAGGGATCTGGGGGATTCAGGGTCCTGTCGGAGCAGGACAGAAAGAGACTTTGGGTGTGGGTATGGGATGAGACCTCAGGAGCTTGTGGGACTTTGAGCATCTAGGAAAGAGTTTGTGTCCAGAGTCAGCTGTTGGACCCAAACCCGGATCCTTCCACATGTCCTTGCTCCAGCGCACACCCCGCTGCCATTAAAGATTAAACTGCTCCAGTGGCTGGGTCCCACAGCCCAGCTCGAGGCATTCAAACCACTTAGGCAATTACTTAATTAATGAGCCCTTTAGCTTCCCACTGCTCCTTTGCCAGCAGCTGCCAGGGATCCATCCCCCTGTGGAGCAGAGGGAATGCCAGCACCGCCGGGTTCTCACCTGCGGCACCGCTCCACGTCGGGGTCCTCGCGGCAGAACTGCAGCCCCCCGTTGCGCAGCGCGTCCTCCGGGTTTGCAAACGCCTGCAAGACAGTCCCCAGATCCTCACGATGCTTTCAGGAGCCTCAGAGGTAGAAGTCTGGCCCCCAAGACCCGTGGGGATTTCCTCCTGCTCCAGTTTTTCACCACCCTTCACAAGCACGAGGGCAACTGCGCTTCCATGTTTAACCCCTGTCCTGGGGGTTAAACTCTGCACCTCCCCAGGGGTTTTCCTTATCCTCCAAAAAACCCAGTGCTGCCTGCTGATCAGGTACCAAACCTCATCCCAGTCCACTTCTTCCCATGAAACCCATTTGAAGGAGACTGTGCCAACCAGCAAGTGAGATCACTGCTGGCACAGAGCTTGCAGACACACTGTGGCATCTGAAAGATAACAGGACTGACAGATTAGGAAATACTCCCTGGCTGGCTTTTTGGCAGTGGTACCGTGTGATTTTCCCATGGGGAAATGGGATCCTACACTAATAAAGTTACGAATAAAGATGATTTATATGAGCTCCTCACCTATGCTCAGAAGCTGTCCCTCAGGGACCTGGTTACATGTGACAGCTTCATTTTGCAGCCTGGAAAGGGCCCTGGTGCTTTCTTTAATCATGTTACAAGCCTGGATGGTCCCAGGGCTGGAGCATCATTTAAAATCACAAGGGGAGGAGCCACATCAGTTACAATCATGTCACAGCACAGGGTTATCGCTTCGTATTTTTTCTGAGAGCAGAAATCTCTCCCTCCCGCTCCACTGACGGAATTGGAAACCCCTCAAATACTTTAAAACAGATTTTATAAACAAATGAGTTTTGCCAGGAATTCAATTTGGGTTGTGGGTGATAAAAGTCCAGTTAACCCCAAATCCAGACAGCAGCTGGAACTCCAGGTCCTCCCTGTATTTTTTCCCTGTGTCCAAGAACGATTTCCTCTAGCTATTGTTTTTATTCCCCATGACTTTCTGATCTCCTGGAGCATTCCCATAGCCAGTCAGCCTCCAAAAGCTCAAAAGCTTTCTGTTACATTCCAAGAAAAAAAGACCATTTCCATGATTTCTTCTCAAACCTTTTTTTCCCCTCTCCTATTCTTCCAGGCATGGCAAATTAACTGTAAACAGTCTCTTTCTAGAAGCATCTCACCTGCTTGCCATTTTAGATTTGTTTATTGTTTAGATCAGGTTTCAAAAATTATAAACATCAAGCTACAGATGGTAGAAACAAACAAAAAGGACTAAAGAGAAGTGAGATATTTATCTGCTGCAGCTATGAAACTTGTTTTCCTTTCAACTTAAGTCAAAGAAACTCGGTTTGCTTCAGGAAAACTTTGTCGACCTTTACAGGAATAAAAGAAGAAAGAAAAACCACAGAAGCCCAAGGAAAAAGCCAGAAAGGGAGACGAAGGAAAAGGAAACTGGATCTTACCTTCTTTCTGAGTCTCACTTGTCCCGTAATGATGGCAACGACATACATTTTTAAGATCAAAATTGTGCTGTAGAACGTAAATGACAGAAACACTTCGTTTTCCATCATTTTGGGGGAAGGTGCCGCTCGGTCGCCTCAACACTCGGATCCTGTGGAGATCTTGGGAGAGGGGGCAGGAACAGCTGCGTTTAAACACGACACAAATCTCCTCATTTCTCCGGCCAAAGCCCACAGCCCCTGTACCCCCCCGCCAGGCTGATGGGGCGCAGCTGCCGCTCAGCAAAGCCCAGCCAGCCCACGGAACAGGCTCCCCCTGCCCCGCACACCCCGACATCACCAGCTCCGGGGGGATGAGATGCCCCGAGCCGGGATACAGCCACCTCGACCCTGTGGGCCACAGCCAGGCTCAGCCCGGCCACAGCTTGAGCCCCTGCCTCCCTAAAACAGCCCACCACGACCCCCTGTGCCACCTCCCGTGCGTGCCCAGAGGGACAGAGCTGCACGGAGCATCCCTCGCCCAGCCAGGCAATGCTCACCCACAGACAGGAGCTGATCTGCTCTCGAAGGAGGAGTTAGGAAGAAGGCAGGCACCTACCTCAGCCACATCCAGCCCTGTGCTCCTGCGCTCAGTCCGTCCCCTATCCCACAGCCCACCCCTCCACTCCCAGTACGTCCCAGTCCCGCCCAGTCCCGTGGCAGAGGCTCCCAGCCCTCCCCTACACATCCACCTGCCGAGGGATGGACAGCGGACAGAGCTGTCCCTTGGCCCACCAGCGCCCACCCCCCGGGAGCCTGGGCTGTCCCTGCACCCCCGGCTGGGAGGGGAGCCCGGGAATGACCAGCCTGGACCCCAACCGGGCAGGTCCTGGACTGCAAAGCCCGAAAAACTGCAGCAGAAGCAAAGAACAGCCTGCCTAGCCCCAAGGCAGCTCGTCCTGGTTTCTCCGAGAGGATGAATCAAGGCAGTCAGGTGTAATTCTGTCCCTGGTTTAGAAAACGCCACACGAATTTGGAGCTGCCTTTTCCTCAGCCACCAAACACTGTGGATGAAAGAGTAGGATCTGAGCCTCTGGCAGGCAGCTTGGATGGTCTTCCAGCCTTTAACTCCTTCTTCCCCAGCCCTGGCCCCAGTGCTGGCAGCAGCAAACCTCAGTGAGCTGGCAGTGTGGGGGCTGACAGGAGATGTCCATTTTTATTAGTGTGGAAGGGCTGGATTTTTTGTTTATTTCCTTTACACAGGGAAAAAAAAATAAAAAAAAAAAGAAAAATATTTCAGGAAAATGGAGACTTTCAGATATTGAGTGAAAAAAGAATGCTTTGAGGATGCAAGCAGTTTTATAATGAATTGACATGTTGGAATAAAAAAATTTGTTTCAAGCCACAAAAGAAAAAGCCTCAAGAAACAATGAACCGAGTAAGGTTTGTCATTTACAAAATCATGTATCAGAGCATCAGTGCCTCTAGGACTGGTTTCGTTCTTCAAGGCTTTTTAACTTCTTAACTGCCATGGAGCAAAACTAAATCCTGTCCTTTCCAAGAGGGTCCAGAGTATCCCAAGAGGAACACTGCACTAAGCCCAGGACCTGGCCCGTTGCTACAGCCCCTGGACAGGTTTGTCCCCAGCAACAGGATGCTGGAAGCATAAAGCAATGAAGAAAATGCAAAGCTCAGTGTCCAGTGGGGCCCGTGTGGTGCAAGTGCAGCAACCAGATGGAGATGCTGTGGTTTTGTGTTGCCATGGCATCGGGGGTGGGGGTGGGGAACGTGGACCAAGGAGGAGGCTGCATGGCCTCCTTCTTCTACCTGTTACCCAGAAATGTTTTGACAAACCAAAACCTCCTACCAAGAAATATTCTGCACAATGTGCCCACAAAGAACGGGAAGTTTGACCGCAGTCCCACTTGCGGCACTTTGCACCATAGTGGTTAATAAGGTGCAAAAAGCACCCCAGTTTTGTATCTAACTGGGGGAAGAGAATTCAACGTGAAATTGCAGGGACAGATCGACAGGTTTATCCTTCTCATCCTCCCCAGAACAGCTGCCTTTTGGTAAGCCTTGCATCCTCAGCTATGCTGAGTGTTGACCTGGGAAATTCAGCTTGTGGTTGCAATGGTATTGTTAGTGCTCTACAGAGCTACTGGGCAGATAATCACCAGCAATCTGAAAGAACCACACACGTTGCATTCAATAAATTGTGCTATTCCTGAACCCGACTGGCCCTTTTGAACGTGACCAGACCTACAGTTCACCTACTATAGTCCATGAAACATAGTCGGGGCCTTATGGTTACGTTTTTGCAACACTGCACAGAGCCTTTGAAAACCCCAAACACTTGGTTTCAAGGGAGAGGTACTTGCAGCTGGTCACCACCACCCCGGCGTCAGGGCGGCTGCAGAACAAGCCCTGGCACAGCCCTGCGTGGAGCTCCTCAGCCTGGCAATGTGTGCCTGCCTCCAACAGGCTGCTTCCCTGGGGGTGGGAATGGGGACACCAGGACATGCAGCAGCCATGTGGACTCAGCCACTGCAGTAAGAGCTGGGGTGTTCACCACCAAACTACATCCAACCCCACCCACGTCTCCCTGGAGGTCACAGGGTTTCATAAACACCATAATGCCAAGAGTAAGTAGTTGGTGGCAAAGCCACATCCCAAACGCTGCTCCCTCCCTTTTCTCCTCTCCACAGCTGATAGGGATCAACCCACAGCAGAGAAGACCTTGGTGCCTAAGGTCTGGGTTTATGCAGGGCCAGACCAGCCCTGCAGCAGGGATGAGACTTCCCCAGCAGTCCCTTCCCCAGCTCTCCCAAGAGTCTGGGAGAAGCCAGGCAGCCAGACCCTCCACCAGCACATCACACCCTCCATGGAGCCGCTCCAGTTTTTACCAGCTGAGGATCCAGCCCACGGGGTCCTTGGTAGTGAGACCTTTTCCCTTCATGCACCTTCCTCCCCTCCGGAGGCAGCCATGCCTCGCTGAACAGCAGGAATATGCACCTGCAGACAAGCCAGGACTCCTCCTTGCCAGCCAGCTAGACTTCTCCTCCTTGGCATTATTCAAACCCTGGCAGGAAGCCCTGGACAAATTGCACCAGCAACTGGCACAAATTTAAATTGAATGGAGAGATCAAGAAGTGCAGTTTGTTTAGGAATAAGCCCTCGGGGCAAACTCAGTCACACCATCTCCCTGGTGTAAAAAATCACGTGGGCAAGGAAAGTTGTTTATTTTGTGTGTTTATGCATTTCAGACCCTTTCAGTATTACATAGAGTGGAGCCCCAGTGGGGAGGGACGTGGATAGGGATGAGGGGCAGAAGCTGCCTGTAAAGGCAGGTGTAAAGCTCCTGGGATCCCAGCTCCTGCTTGGTTTCCCATGTTCAGGGGTCTCACTCTGGGCAGGACACATCCACACGTGCACCTTCCTGGCTTTTGGAACCCAAGGCAATGCAGCTGCAGGAAGCATGTTTAACCATCCCATTAATCCAGGCGGAAGCAGGCTGTTAATATTAATGGTTTGATCCTCCTCCACAGATCACATTCTTCATTGCTTGAAGGAGACCAGGTCCTTAAACTACAAGCTGCGCCTTAAAGCCTTGAGAACAAGAAGTTTCAACCCAGGACAAGACCCACCCAAAATCAACATCACCAGCCAAAAACACTGATTTTTTTTTTTTGAGAAATTATTAATAATAATCAAGGTCAGGCTTTGAAAGATTAGTCATCAGGTTAGACTGACCCTGGGAGCTGTGGAGAAAAGATGGAGGGTTTTGCTGGAGGAGGAACTGAACTGTAGCCGGTAGAAGGAATGAAAAATTCATGGGACGTGCTTGAGAAAAGTACTTAAAACTAGAAGCCTGTAATAGCAATCCTGCTTTGAAAAGATTACAGAATAAAAATCACCCTCAGTTCCCATACGGGCTGTTATTTATTTGACCAGCTGAATTACACTATAGTATGATAACTACATGTTTTTCCACTCTTGCTATGTTGGGGAATTTCCTGGTGGCAGTGACATGGGAGTTGTGTAATAAATCCTGCACAGTGGAACACTGGCATGTCTGCTGGGGTGGCATGGCCTGGGCTCCAACCTGATCCCAAAGGGCAGCAGACTCTTTGGGCAATTACAACTCAGATTCCCCAAAATTTTCCCAAACCCATTACATCCCACAGCCAGGGCTAGGCAAAGAGCCCGAGGGGACTGCTCCAAGCTGGAGAAGCCGGGCAGGTGGGTGGCACTTCTCCAGCGTGTTCCCACATGTTGGTGGAGAAGGTGCAGAGCCCGGTTGGGGTTTTGCTTGCCCTGGGCCTACAGCTCAGCCCACAGCTCCAAGAAGAGCTGAGCCACATTCCTGGCTTGTTTCAATGCTGCAGTGGACACCAGTACCCTCCTTCCCTGCCATTTCTTCCTGCTGCTCCCAGCGCAAAGCCTTGGAGTCTGCACACGTACCCCAGTGATCACTTCCCCCGGGCTGCACCCATCCTGGGAAATCCCATGAGAGTCTGTGCTGGCTCATGGAGTCAACCACAGCTTTTCAAGTAAAGACATGAGCATTTTAACTATCTGTTAGAGAGAAGGGCGCTCCACCTGCCTTCACTCCTTAGTCTGCACAAAAACTCAACCACCGTGACGCACCTTCTTCTGCGGGTGAGTGAAATCCTGTTGCTTCACCTGCAGCTCCCCGTCCCCAAGCTCCTGGGCTCCTCCTGCCCTTTGCAGCGAGCAGGACACAGAAGATACTGCAAAGTCACTAAGCAGTGGAACCATCAGCATCTCTGGCCTTCAGCATTAGCACCTCCGGAAACAAATGGGATGTTTCAGCCTTTGGCAAACTCCGGCAGATTTTGTCTGGTTTGTATTTTAGAGTGACGGTGCTGGCGGGAGCTGCCTGAGAGGCCTCAGCACGAGGAATGTACGATCAGACTCTCCCAAATTGTCCTTCACACTTGGAAGAGCAGATGCCTGCAGCAGGAGAAAGCCAGCAGGAGAGGCCCAGGGAAGGGGCAGGGGTGTGGTGGCTCTGAGTCCCAGGCAGAGCAGAACGGAGGAAACTGCTGTTCCTCAGCCAGTCCCAGGACAGGGAACTGGTCCAGGGCCAAGTGAGAGGCAGTGGCACGTTGTCCTCCTGCCTTCTCCCTCCAGCTCCACCCACAGTCCCTTCCTGTCTACTCCCAGGCTGCTGCCCTGCTCCCAACCACCCCCCTGACCCAAATTGTACCAAATTGTACCCACCCTGGCTGCAGGGTACTCACTGTGTCCCCTGCTGCTGTGACAGCCAGGAGATGCCAGAAGAGAGGACATCAGGCTGGGACTGTGTGGGAAGTAGATTATTTTCTCCTATTCTGAGCCTCACATGGATTCACGCCTGGGCTTTCTCTTAGAGGAAAGAATTCCTTGGCTAGGCTGCTCTGTGCCTTCAGGGATGCAAATCTGGTGGGAGAGTGGCTGAGGGAAGTTATTTCTCCTCTCTTCTGCTTTCTCCCTCTGCCCC